CAAAATTGGTGTCCTGGCATGATTTTGATGGTTGGAATGCGTTTAGAGTTGGCAGAAAAGATGAGATGCGCAGAAAAAGCTACTCAAGCAGTGCTTTTTCAAAATCGCTGTCTTTCATTGATAATTGAGCCCTACATTAGGGTTGGGAATATGCACCAAGGTAGGGTTAGGGTTAGAAAAAATCGGTGTCCTGGCATCATTCTGATGGTTGAAGTGTGTTCAGAGTGGGCAGAAATGATGAGCTGCGCAGAAAAAGTTACTCAAGCAGTGCTTTTTCAAAATCGCTGTCTTTCATCGGTAATTGAGCCCTACATTAGAGTTGGGAATATGCACCAAGGTAGGGTTAGGGTTAGAAAAAATTGGTGTCCTGGCATGATTCTGATGGTTGAAATGTGTTTAGTGTGGGCAGAAATGATGAGCTGCGCAGAAAAAGCTACTCAAGCAGTGCTTTTTCAAAATCGCTGTCTTTCATTGGTAATTGAGCCCTACATTAGGCTTTGGGTATGCAGCAGGGTAGGGTTAGGGTCAGAAAAAATCGGTTTCCAGGCATGATTCTGATGGTTGTAATGTGTTTAGCATGGGCAGAAATGTGGAGTTGTGCAGAAGAGGCTATTCAAGGACCTTGTTTTCAAAATCTCCCCCTTTTCATTGTAAATTTAGCCCTATATTTGGGATAGGAGGAAGCACCAGGGTTGAGTTAGAGTTTGAAAAATGAGGTGTCCTGGCATGATTCTTTCATTCAGAATGTGTTTTGAATGGGCAGAAATGATGAGCTGTGCAGATGAAGCTGCCCAAGGATGGGTTTTCCCAAGTTGTCCCTTTTCAATGGAATGTTAGCCCAATATTAGGGTTAGGTGAGTGCGCCAATGTAGGGTTAGGGTTAGAAAAATAAGGTGTGCTGGCATGATTTTGATGGTAGGAATGTGTTTAGAATGGGCAGAAAGGATGAATTCTGCAGAAAAAGCTACTAAACGACGGCTTTTTCAAAATCGCCCTCTTTGCAATGTAGCCCTTTCTATCTGCATGCTGCCCTGTCATCCTAGCAGCTCCCCATCTGGTGAGCATCGATAACCTCTCACATAGGGCCTCTGCCCATGCTCGGAATGAGTCGCCGTGCAAGGCTTTGACATCAATTGCCCGACTCATTAGCTGCGACTCATCTGAGTTTTCGCAAAGCGGTCAATTCACTGCCAAGGATATATACATATATATAGGCATATATATATTCAGTTATATATTTTCTTGTGCTTGCCGTGAATTTTTTTTCCAAACTGAAACCTCAGCTTTCAGGTTTTATTGTAATGCTGGCACTTTTGGATAAATAGTGGGGTTTGTGTTGCTGTTTGGGCCTTTGTCTCTAAAAGGTTCACCATCACTGCCCTAGAGTAAAGGATTCCACCTAGCCTAGCTTTTGCGCAGAACCAATCTCTGCATCCTGTAGAGTCAATTCCGCAATACATTTTAGTTCATTTCATTCTTTCCCCACTTCTCTAATGACATCTTCTGTTTTAATTTTGTATTGCACAATAAGAAGCACAAGTGGTGGAATACGTGGAGTCTTTCGTCTTTGCTGTATTTCCCACAATTCAGCAGTGTTGGATGACCCCCATATTCTAGTACTGTCATGGGAAATAAAGCTGGAAAAACAAACCTCTCTCTGTCCTCCTCTATATCCCGTGCATGCTTCTATAAACCTGCATCAAGCCACTCCTTATTTGCCTTTTTTCGAAACAGATAGTCCCAAACATTGTACCCTTTCCTTGAAGGGCTGTCACTGCAGTTTCCTTTTCACTGTGTGCTTTCTCTCTGTCTTTTCCTTTTCTCAAGTGTCATGATGAGAACTTTTAACATATTCCAAGCATTGCTGTCCCATCAGTTTCTATACGTGACATTAAGATATTGGCAGTTTTATTTTGATCCCTTATCAAGCAGTCCCTAATGTTACATTTTCCTTTTTCACAGCTGCTGCACGCTGGTTCAATATTTTAATTGAACTATCCATCATCACCTCAAGTTCCCGTGCCTGCTCAGTCACAGCCGACTCTCATCTTACCTAGGTACCTAACAAAATTTTTTTTTGCTCACTTTGATGTTGTGATGTGCCATCAAGTCGTCTCTGACTTATGCTGACCTTATGGGTGAAAGCCCTTCAAAAATGCCCTGTCCTTCACGGCCCTGCTCAGATCTTGTAAATGTGTGGCTGTGACTTCCTTTATGGACTCAAACTAGCTCTCATTTGGTCTTCTCCTTCTTCTTCTTTCTTTCCCTAGCATGACTGTATGCACAGTAGAGGTGACAAATAGATTTAAGGACTTAAAGCTGATAAACAGAGTGCCTGAAGAACTATGGACGGAGGTTCGCAACATTGTACAAGAGGCAGCAACTAAAACCATCCCAAAGAAAAAGAAGTGCAAGAAAGCAAAATGGCTGTCTGAGGAAGCTTTACAAATAGCTGAGGAAAGAAGGGAAGCAAAAGGCAATAGAGAAAGATACACCCAATTGAATGCAGAATTCCAGAGAGTAGCTAGAAGAGATAAGAATGCCTTCTTAAATGAACAGTGCAAATGAATAGAAGAAAACAATAGAATAGGGAGGACCAGAGATCTCTTGAAGAAAATTGGAGATATGAAGGGAACGTTTCATGCCAAGATGGGCATGATAAAGGACCTAAATGGCAGGGACCTAACAGAGGCAAAAGAGAATAAGTAGAGGTGGCAAGATTATACAGAGGAACTATACAAGAAAGATCTTAATGTCTCTGTTAACCACAATGTGGTGGTCACTGACCTTGAGCCAGACATCCTGGAATATGAAGTCAAATGGGGCTTAGGAAGTCTGAGCAACAACAAAGCTAGTGGAGGTGACAGTATTCCAGCTGAGCTGTTCAAAATCCTAAAAGACAATGCACTAAAAGTGCTACACTCAATATGCCAGCAAATTTGGAAAGCTCAACAGTGGCCACAGGATTGGAGAAGGTCAGTTTACATTCCAATCCCAAAGAAGGGCAGTGCCAAAAAATGTTCAAACTACCGCACCATTGCACTCATTTCACATGCTAGCAAAGTGATGCTCAAAATCCTACACTCTAGGCTCCAGCAGCATGTGGACCAAGAACTACCAGAAGTACAGACAGGATTTCGAACAGGTGGAGGAACTAGAGATCAAATTGACAATATACTTTGGATCATGAAGAAAGCTAGGGAGTTCCAGAAAAACATCTACTTCTGCTTCATTGACTATGCTAAAGCCTTTGATTGTGTGGATCACAGCAAATTGTGGCAAGTTCTTAAAGAGATGGGAGTAGCAGACCATCTTATTTGTCGCTTGAGAAACCTATATCAAGAAGCAACAGTGAGAACTGGGTATGGAACCACTGATTGGTTCAAAATTGAGAAAGGAGTTCAGCAAGGCTGTATACTGTCTCCTTGCCTATTTAACTTATATGCAAAGCACATCATGAGAAAGGCGGGGCTAGATGAATCACCAGTTGGAATTAAGTTTTCCAGGAGAAATATCAACCATCTCAGATATGCAGATGATACCACTCTAATGGCAGAAAGTGAAGAGGAACTAAAGAGCCTCTTGATGCAGATGAAGGAGGAGAGTGCAAATGTTGACTTGAAACTCAACATTAAGAAAACGAAGATCATGGCATCCGGTCCTCTCATTTCCTGGCAAATAGATGGGGAAGAAATGGAGGAAGTGACAGATTTTATTTTCCAGGCTCCAGGATTACCACAGATGGAGACTGCAGTGGAGGCAAGCGAGGCTATGAGAAGTAAAAGAGAGGATGAAGAAATTTTTGGGAGAAGAAGAAGGAAGGAATACCAAAGAGGATTGCAAGTATACATACATCCTCACCTACCCAGGTAGTTGGAGGAAGAGAACTATGTGGCATACCAGAAAGACAAGCCACAAAAGCTGTCCAAAAGTTGCCAAAAGAGAGAACCTCACCTTGGGGAAATGGGAGTCTCACCAGCTGTTAAGTTCTAGGAGTTTGTCCTGCCCTTAAAGGAGTAGAATTGCGAGAGAGCTTAGGGGAAGCATGATACCCTTGTTATCTGGCTGACTCGTCACAGTTGGGACCTGAGATAGCTAAATTTACTGAAAAGCCCTAGGTTACTTACCTTGATCAGGGAGAGGATAACTTATGGAAAAACCATGGGGGTGAGTGAAAAGTGTGGCAGCCAATTAATGTCAGGCAATCCCAGGGAAAAACTCCAGAGAAAAATGGGTGGAGGCTAGGATAACATCCACAACCATCAAGGTTTTAAGCTAGAACTTTTTGCCCTAAAGGGTGCCATTAAACTACTTACCTGTATGCGGCGATGTAAGTGGATAGTGTACTTCTATTAAAAACTCTTGTTTACATATCAGGTGGTTTGTCTAGCCATGGATGCCACAGAGAGAAGGTGGATTTGATTCGTCCCTGCCGGCTCCCCTTACCTCTGTCTTCCACAACAAATCAGTTTGTGTGTTCTGTTTTGATTCTCATGCAAGGTGATTTTCTTCAGGAAACTGTAACTTGTCACTTAGTGTCTTGCTTTTTCTTTTTGCTGATTAAAAAAATCAGCCCACTATTTGGAGATTTGAAATATCACGTCCAGCTGGCCCCATCTCTAGCAACTGCATGTCTTTCCTGATGGGGAAAAAGCAGTTAATTTGGCATCACTGGTTAAGCTTGAAGCTGCTGAGGAACCCAAGAGGAGCTGGCAGCTAAACAACCAGCCACTGCTTCCACTGGAAATCATGCTGCACAAAATATCAACTAATGATCTTGCATTTTATTTGGCACAATTATCTTATATCTGCAAGGAAAAGGAGAAATGCCAAGTCAATAAGCAACTCCTGTTCTTTTGGCTTGCATGCATCAGGACATATTCATCTGTAATAATCAGAATATTATTAACATTAGCCATTGCATGTATACCAAAATATAAATATCCTGCTTTGTGGTTTCTAATCAGTAACTGAATTTTAGAAAGATTCTGCCACTGCAGATGTTTTTTGTAATTAAACAAATTCTCTCTCTTTCTCTTTTATTATAAAAAATTGGAAAATGTTACCATCTGGTTGTATGTGTGTATTTTCTGGAGCTGAAAACAAGACTGTTGTACTAATGATCAATCCTGCATCAGTAACAACAACAAAATGTTTAACAACAGGATGCAGTTGCAGTGCTGCCGCTCCTCCACACATAATGGAGTGGTAAAACATAAACCACCACAATATATTGAGGGATGTTTTCGCTTCCCGAGAATATGTAAGGGAAAGAGTGGCCTATTTTTAAAATCACAAGGAGTCTTGTTAATGGAGGCAGAGAAGAAAAATTTGCCACATACAATGAAGGCTTGTCACACCAGATTGTAAATTTATCTATTTATTTATTTAAAAAATTCTATGCTGCCCCATTCGCCGAAGCCTTGGGGCGGCTTACAAAACAACAGTTAAAATATAAAACACTAAAAATATAAAACACATTAACATTATAAAATAAGTCACCCTGGCTGAAGAATTAAGCAAATAATATTAGGAATTAAAATGACGTTTGAATAAAAAGGTCTTTGCCTGGCGCCGAAAAACAAATAATGACGGTGCCAGGCGGACCTCTCTGGGGAGCGCATTCCATAGATTGGGCGCCACCGCAGAGGAAGCCCTCCTCCGAGTACCTACCCTCCTAATTTCCTTCACGGAGGGTTCCCGGAGAAGGGCCTCTCCTGCAGATCTCAGGGGGCGGGTGGGCATATATGGACGTAAGCGCTCCT